ATATATAAAAGCCTGATCTGTTGGCTGACCTTTGTATTTGTTCAAATAATTGTTATGGGCAGGTCACAATATAAAAATGTTTGTCATAATCATGTCTTGTGATTATTTGACAGGAGTTTTACTTTTAAACTGTAAGTGTATTTAATTTAGTTATGTTAGTTATAATAGTTTAGTTATGATGTAAATACAATACAAAATAAACCAAGATTTATATTAGAATAATGATCATTTTGACCCATACATTAGTAATGTCTGACTGGGCCTCGTGCCACTTTATGTTCAACAAACTGGGCCCCGAGGTCAAAAAGGTTAAGAACCCCTGGATTAGAGAACCATTTCCACTAGAGTGATTTAGATCAGTCATGTGACCAGGACATGAAGGGGTCCAGGGCCTGATTCTTATAATAGACCACTGGAAACAAAGACAACTCAAACCCAAGTTATGGTATAAGGTTAAGGTATAATAGTGTTTTAGATGATTTATTAAAACTTAGAGAGAAAAAAAAAGATAAAAACAGTCCAAAGAGCATCACCCTCAGTGTTACACGCCAAACTTCTAAATCCAGAAAATCCAGCTCAATATTTCAGRGATCAGATTATAATGATCACTCTTAGTTATTGTCACACCAAATTTCACCTTAATATCAGTAAAAATGTCTCAGTTATAGACATTTTTTGTGTTTTTAATGTCAGTYGGCTGTGGCAGCCATTTTGAATCAGGCTGCCTATAAAAATCTATTTTATTAAAAGCTTTATTAACTTTATTAGAAATTCTTTTGGGGTTATTTCACATAACGGACACAGAGAGGGAAAAAAAACAAAAAAGAAAAGGAGAAAGGTGAAGAAAGAGATTAAAAGGGAGATATTACTCCAGCAGCTGATGCTGAAGTTTGAACAAAGACGTTGCGTGATTTATTAGCACTTGGAGTATCTAATATGACCAAAAGCAATGAATTAAATTAAATTTGTGTGCTTAAAATCCTATAACTGGGACACACGTTTCTAAAACTTTGACTTTTTTAAATTCATTTTTTAATAAATGTTGCCCTCTTTCGCCCACTTACTTCCTCAGATGCTGCCTGGCTGCAGGAATGTCGGACATGTCTTCGTTCAGGACGTACTTCTTGGTGCCGATGCAGTAATTCTCAATGTATTCAGGCCAGTTCAGCTGGCGCACGTCGAAGTTAAATGTCTGGAGAAAGAAACAAAACAAAAATAAATAAATAAAATTTAAATTAAATAAAAAAACCCACGAGGACACATTGATGCAAAGATAAAAAAGGCTTCAATAAAACTGTTTTCCAAGTCTTACTCACTAGATGGAGCTCAAAACATCAAATCTCCTTTAGAAATTTTCCAATTCCTCTTATTTTAAATTATACCTACATTTCTAAGCACACTAACGTGAGTTCAAAACTATCCATGAAGCTGCATTAACTCTTTCAGTCAAACCTCATTATAGAGTCACTGAAGTGTGCTTGGTCTCACACATTACTGAGGCGTACTCAGCCCTGCAGCAGTCTATTGATTGGAGCAGATTTATATGACKGTGCGTTTAATCTGCTCGGAAACCATTTCAACTTGGTGGCTAATTAAATTAAATTCATTGTGATGCTAATCTATAAAAAGGTTSGCAGAAAGACATTAAGTATTTATGGAAGCGAGTGCGGGCCAGCAGCATGTGGACAGATGAGCCCACCTTCCTGTCCTCGGGGCTCAGCTGGCTCATCAGCATGCTCATGTTCTCAGAGTTCCACTCCCAGTCCTGGCTGCTGAAGTACTCCAGCAGGCTGATGGCCTTGTGAAGGCGGTTGAAGATGCGCATCATCCTGCGGGWACAGAAGCGAGGTTAGAACGCGGGCTTTCCCTCGGGAAGATCCCGACGTAGCTGGAGGGGTCTTACTGTGGCTTCTGTCCCGACAGGCGGAGGATGAGGTCGTAGACGAAGGCCGGGAACTTGTGGCTGACCAGGATCCAGTACTGGTTGATCAGGTAGTTGGAGGTTATGTTGGCGTTGGGTCTGCGGAAGGCCTGCTCCAGGGGGTTTCTCTTGAAGGACGAGATCACGTGGTGCTCTGTTGAGCAACACAGAAATGCAAAAAAATAAATAAAATAAAAGGTACATGGAAGTAGATGACAAGTACTTGACGTTCATCCTGCAAAATGCTTGATTTCCTAAAAGTTTCCCACGAAAATAAACAAATTAAAGTTTTTCCACAGCTGAGTAAACACACAGATTGAGGATTTTCTGCACGGCTCATAACTTCCGGGAATCCTGGCGTTCGGGCAGAGAGCAGCCACTCTGATCC